ACTGGCCCCCGACTGTCTCTGGTCCAGGGTTTTTATAGAGACGCCAAGGGGTGGAGCAAAAGACCTCCTCCCCCAGCACAGCCAAGTGCAGGCCATCTCAGACACCTGCACTCAGGCCCGTGGTCCTGATCATCCTCTATTCAGACCTGCTGGGTAAAGCCACGAGGAACCCCAGAACGGGCTCCCACAGCACATCATAAGCAAAGACTCTGAACCAAACTAACTGACTTCAAAGCTCAATTTCCCATTATGTAGCTTTCCATGCCTCAGTCTTACCATCTGCAATACAAGGATAAAGTAACACCTGCTTCATAAGGTCGTCCTGGAGCTTGAATGAGCTAACTCAGGGGCTGTGCCCAGCACCATCTGGCACTAAGAACCCTGTGCAAAGGTTGACTTCATCCCTGGGTAGTGGAAACTGCTTGGGGAGTACACATCCACCTGTCCAGCAGACACAGTCCAGTGCCTCCTTATACACCAACTTCCTGCTCAGGCTGGAGCCTCCTTTATGTCCTGTTAGACGGATCCTGTCCTTCCACATCACCTATTGCTGCTTCCTTCTCTTTGGAACTAGCTGGGACTCTCTACAGGAGGCAAGTAGACTTCTCACAAGCACCCAAAGTTTGCATCTTAGAACAAAAAGAATCATGCGGCTACCAGCAGAAATGGGAAAACTGTCTGGTCTCACCAGTGCTTACAATGTTTGTGGATCTGCCCCTTGCCAAGCCATTTTGGTGTTTTATTCGTCACGATAACTGTAGATGGGCAAACATCACTCCATTTCACATACAGGGTGGCCGAGTCAGGGGAGGGAAGGGAGGAGGGAAGGGGGAGGGAAGGGGGAGGGGAGGGCTCTCCTGAGGCACCAGGTGGGAGTGGGGGGGCTTCAGTTTAGCTACAGAATTCTGGGGTAAAATCGTAAGTTTGGCTTTGTGTATGTGGGCCTCAGCATCATCCTGAGCAAAGCTGAGCAAAGTTTTGGGCCCATAGCTCTCAGAACAGTTAACAGGACAAGAGAGAGGTCAGGCTGAGCCTGGAAGATGAAAGAGAGGACAGCACTGGCCTCCACAGGACCTTGGAGAGCTCCTGGGCGGCTGCTGGGTCCTACCTGCTGCCCTCTCCTGCCTGGGTGGCTCAGAGCTATCCTTAGAGACTCTCATCCAGGAGACCATCGCCCCCCCCTCCGGGGGGGGGGAGATCACTAGGCCTATAGGGCCAAGGAGACTCTCTGCTTGGCAGTAGTGGGGTCTACTTGTGAATTAACAGCTCAATTAAATATGTTTTGTTTTGTTTTTTAATGAGATCTCCAGAGCTAGATGACCTGGTTCCCAGTCACAGTCAGCTACATATTAGCTATGCAAGCTAAGACAAACAACTCAGTCTTTCTGTGCTTCAGTTTTCCTCGTCTGTGGAGCCATGGTACCTTGAAGATTTCAAGAGCAGGAGTGAGTGTGAGATTCATTTTCAGTGGTGTCCAGAACACAGCTGTACTCTGTAAGTGTGAGCAGTCGGCAGGACTTAGGGAAGAGACTGGCAGCAGCTACCCAATGCAGGCCATAAGCTAAGAATGGATAGGCAGGGCAGCTGAGTCCTGGAGCCAGCATCTGGGTCCTGGGAACTTCCGTGGGATGATGATGTGAAGATTGACTGAACCCATCCCAGAGTGGAGAGACACTGGGCTCCGCCTCAGGGAAGGGGTTCAACAGGGCAGCTGTAGGCCCTGACCTTGCTCTCTTTGGAGCTCCCCTAGTAATGCAGAGGATGCGCTACATTTAAGAACAGCAGTATGGCTGGTTGGTGGTGGCACATGCCTTTAATCCCAGGACTCAGGAGGCAGAGCCAGGCGGATCTTTGTGAGTTCGAGGCCAGACTGGTCTACAGAGCAAGATCTAGGACAGGCACCAAAACTACACAGAGAAACCATGTCTCAAAAAACAAACAAACAAACAAACAAACAAACAAACAAGAACACCAGTATGGACCCCATGGAAGCAACTAAGTCTAGACTAGGCAGGCTTGAGCCCAGTATGTCCCACAAGGACCCAAGGGACCCATGGCAGAGCTGGCTCTAAGTTCAGGAGGCTGCCAGACCTGTTGAGTAAGGGGACTGAGGAGGAGAATGCTGAAGGCCAGAGAGTCCAGACCCTGGATCCTAAAGATGTCCTCAGGCAGGCTCTCCCTAGGGGGATGTGACAACTTTGGAAAAAACTCAAATGACAAGCTAGACAACAGAGCAACCATGGCGTGACACATGAGTGCAAATATTTGGGTCTGAGGCATCTGAAAGGAAACGTGCTCATTGCGGATCTAGACACTGAGACTTCTGCTTACACGTGGGTGTGTCTTTCATATTAAATATACTTGCTCTTTCAGACTGTCCTCTAAAAAAGTCACAGAGTCACAGCAGAGTAGACACCCTAGATTCAAGGTCACCAACAACTCAACATGTCAAGATTCACCTCCTCCCTTCCAAAGAACAGGGTGGGCCAGTGCACACTACCACCCAGTAACATGTGAGGTCAGAACGTTCAAGGCAACTGCAGAAGAAGAGAAGGAAAGGCCGAGGAAGCTGGGCATCTAGCACAGGGGCTCTGGAGTCCTGTGCGTATCTTCTTACAGACACGGGGCACGAGTCAGAGGCAGCTCACCTCAAAGTTGGTCCCTGATAGTCTGTTCACCCTGAAGGCTTCAGTGAAGGGTCTTGGGTTGACCACCATGGGAAATCCTGGCATCACAGGTGACAATGATACTGATAAATTCACGGAAAACTCATGCACCAAAGTTGCAGGTGGAGCATTCTCTGGCACGTTGCTGGTGGCGGGCAGGTGGATCAGGTGCAGAGCTTCTCCTCCTGCAGATTTAGACAGAGACGAGATGGCATAAACACCAAGCGGTTGGCTGGAAACAGAGGTTTCTTTGCTTGGTCTGTGACTTCATTTCATGGCAACAAAGGGGGCTGGTCATTACCCAAGATGGAATGCTTTCTAGACACTGGAAGTGAAAACATGAGGTCTTCTGGGAGCCAAGGAAACAGCCAGACCAAACAGCCATGAAATCTGCTGCCGCTGGGGAACAAAGGCTCTGGTTCTCCCTCCTCCCTCCCAGCCTCGGAAGAGCCGGAAAAGAACCACTTAAAAGCCTTAGTGTGGTAATGATGCTCTCTCTTGCAGGTCTTAGTGTGGTAATGATGTCCTCTCTCTTGCAAGGGCCCAGAAGATTGTGGAAGCTTATTTTCCTTCTCGAGGCAGTGTTGGATTCATGAGGTCATCTGAGAATTGAGTGTGCATGACTAGAGAACTCCAGAATAGTGGGGAATTTCTCCTCAGCCATTAACAATGTCAAGGACAATGAATGGTCTGTTGCTGGAGGCTGTTTGGGGGCATCCTGTGGAGGATCAGTCAGTGTGATTAATACTAATTTCACAGAGGAGTCAGGAGGGCACATGGATTGCTTTGGGTTTCACTAGAGAGGGAATTTTATAATTTAAGAGAGAATGTGCAAGCCGGGGCGGTGGTGGCGCACGCCTTTAATCCCAGCACTCGGGAGGCAGAGCCAGGTGGATCTCTGTGAGTTCGAGGCCAGCCTGAACTACCAAGTGAGTCCCAGGAAAGGCGCAAAGCTACACAGAGAAACCCTGTCTCGAAAAACCAAAAAAAAAAAAGAGAGAGAGAATGTGCTTCTCCCAGGAAATACTGGGGGCCATTCTAAGGTCCCCATGATATTGTGCCAGACTTGGCCACAGCAGAAGCCATATTCCCTCATGTTTTTTATAATCTTGCTAACTATAGTGGGCTGGGGCTGTGTGGTGGTTTGGATAGGAATGGCCCCTACAGACTCAGGTGTTTGAATGCTTGACCCACTATGAGTGGGACTATTAGGAGGTGTGGCCTTGTTGGAGTAGGTGTGGCCTTGTTGGAGGAAGTGTGTCCCAAGGCACCCAGCTCAAAGTGATGTGCCAGTGGTGACCAGCCAAGTTGTAGCAAAGAGAAGGTCGCAGGCTCAAGGCCAACTCTTCTTCCCAAGACACCTCATTTCCATCCTATGGCTGGTCTTCTAGAAGGTTCTTTCAGAGTCTGGTGAGCAGGCAAGAGGCTTTAATGGAATTTGACTTTCACATGTGTCTTAATTAAGAATCAAATTAGGGTTGCTGGCATCTAACACATGGACAATGAAGAGGCCTGTGGAGATGGATCAGCAGACACAAGGCCAGCTGCGACATCTTGATGCATGAAGCACTGTTTCCCATGAATCACAGCCTTTCTAGGAATGCACCTCTGGGGCCTCCTCCTGAGCCAGTGTTGAGACGGTTAAAGCCTTCCTAGCTTCCGTTAGTGGCAGAAAGCTGACCACCCTGGGCCCCCAGCACTGAGTGGTAAGGCATGGCCTGCTTCTCTAAATCACAGCTCTGCTTTTGAGATACAAAACAGCCCTCACCTGAAACTGTACCAGCAAATATTCCTTCAGGGACCAGTAAGATGGGAGCGATGGGCCAAGATGCTTGCCATGCAGGCCTGATGCCCTGAGCCCAATCCCTGGAACCCATGTAGAGGTGGAGGGTGAGAACTGATATGTAGAGGTCAGAGGACAACTTTGTGGAGTTAGTTCTCTAACATCCACGTGCATGCCATGGCATACCCCACCATATGCACACTAGTAATAAATACACAAACAAGTAGTCCTTGGTTTTCTCCATTAATCAAAGAGTGTGGAGGAAAATGCTGCTGTGGAGCAGAGATTTGAAAAGAAAACCTTCAGTTTCACTACTGCTTAACCGTGTGACTGGGTTGAACCCTGATCTTCTGTGGGACTCCAGTGTCAACTCTCTTGTGTCACTGGTGCTACCCAAATGGCTGCTAATCGGGGCTCTCTTGCTAAGAGACACCCACAGGAGCCTAATGACAAAATCTGCAAATCTACAGCTTGTTTCAGAAAAAAAAAAAAAAAAGTACTGTAGAGCAAAAATACAAAGGAGACTCATCATGCGGAAGGCTGCTCTTAACAAAAGGTCCAGAGCCAGGGCCAGGCTCCTGTGGTCACCTTTTTCCCAAGGGCTTTGGAATGAAGCACTTTCTTGGATTATGAACCACTGATGCATGCACAAATACTGTCTTGGCCCATTTTGTGGTGCAATAACAGAATACCACCAATCAGGCAATTTATAGACTATGAGTTTCTTTGGGTTATTCTTATGCATGCTGGGAGATCCTAATTGAGGATTTGTACATGGTGAGGTCCTCTGGCTGCTCCATAGTATGACCTCTTAAAATGAGAAAGGGCCTAGCTTGCTGTTTGTTTGAGATAGGATTTTGTTTTGCAGCCCAGGCTATCCTGGAATTCACTGTGTAGCCCAGGCTGACCTCAAATTCGTGACACTTCTCCAGTAGGACAGAGAAGAAAAGACTTGGTCCTCAGTGTTGATTCTGACCATCACATCAGCTGGTAGTTATGAAGAAAAGGCTGTGTTGGTCTGGGAGCCTCACTCTGCTGTTGCCCTGCGGAGAGCATCTCCTAATACCACAGAGGTGGCAACATGGGGAGGAGAGCTGCGAGAAAAGCCCTTCTGAGACCTGCTCTGAAGAGAAGAGACATCTGCAATCCCTGTGGATGTCACACATACCACAGAAAGACTTTCTGGAAATTGACTCTCTTCTTGAATTTTCAAACGATGTGAATGAGAGCATTAAGAGCTGCTTCATGGGCTGGAGGGATGGTCCAGCAGGTAGAGCATTTGCCGCACAAGCCTGCTCTCTGAGTTCTAGGACCCGCAGAAAGGTGGAAAGAGGGGACTGACTCCACAAAGTGGGCCTCTGGCCTTCACATGTGTGCTGTGGTTCACTCCCCACCCCAATACCACACACACATAATGATAATTAATAAATATTTTTTAGGCGAGGCAGTGGTAGCACATGCCTTTAATCCCAGCACTCAGGAGGCATAGTCAGACAGATCTCTGTAAGTTTAAGGCCAGCTTGATCTACAGAACAAGTTCCAGGATAGCCAGGGCTACACAGAGAAACTCTGTCTTGAAAAACCAATAATAATAATAATAATAATAATAATAATAATAATAATAATAATTTTAAAGCAGCTATGGGACTGGAGGGGTAGTTCAGACACTAAGAGCACTAATTGCTCTTCCAGAGGACCCAGGATTGATTCTCACCGCCTATGTGACTGATAATAATCATTTGTATCTCCAATTCCAGGAAATCTGACACTGTCTGGGCTCTGTGGACACCACATGCACATAATGTACAGACATACATGCAAGTAACCCCCCCACACACACACACACTCCAAAAAAGATTTTTAAGTGACAGATATACCTAGTTTCATAAGAGGAATGAAATACCGAACCTCAGGCCTTTTCTGATTTTCTCACACTGTCTAGCAAAGGTTCAAGCCCAGCTGATAGGATCAGGGAGCTTCCTCAAGACATCCGTGATTTCCCCAGCCTGGTGCTCATGGAAAAAACTCTGGTCCAGGGGCCTGCTGCTGTTTGTGTTCACATCAGACTTCTAGACTCCAAGGAAGTCCTTCACTCCCCAGTGCCCCCGGCATGCTTCATTTCCATGGGGAGCACAAAAGCTTTTCTAAAAGAGTAGAGAGCTTCCATACACCCCAGGTTTAAGTACCCTGGGTCCTCTGGCTGGTGAAGAAGATGTGGGCCTGTGGTGCTTACGGAGTGCAAAGGCTTTGTTCTCGGCTCTTCCCCGTGGATACAGTCAGGAGTTTGTCTCCTTCCTGTTCTCTGGGGATTTCCTTTGTAAGTCATTGTCAGTACTGCACGTGATAGTTTCCCAAACAGAAACTTCCATTTTCCCTCATCTTGGTAAGAAATGGGGGGAACAGAAGCTGAGTCAAACACAGGTAAGAAGTAGGCAGAAGATCTGAAGCTCGACATTTGGTGAAGGTTCACCAGTAAATGTGAAAGACACAGGCACACCTGCACCAGACTCTGAAAAGATGACGATCAACTCAATTAAATATATACTGGATGCCAACGTGATCGTGGGGGCCCACAGGGCACTAAGACATTGTTGGGCTGGCATTACAGTTGCAGACAGTTAAGAGACAGCTCAGACACTTCAGAGGAGAGTCACGGAGCTCATGTCAGCTTGTTGGGCACCTGGGCATTGTACTGCGCTGTCGGCATAGAAAACACAGAGGGGCAAGGGCCCTTCTGGGGTGCAGTGGGAAGAGGGTCTGTGATGAACCAGAGCAAGTGGGAGGGATCTAGGGCATGGCAAGGCCTGATATTAGGGCCTGAGAAATAAAAGAGGAGGCTGTTTTGCTTTCTTTGGGGCCCCTTCATGCTGAAGGCAGGTGCACATTGTCTGCCCTCACACCCAGAATCCCTCAGACCTCTACAGTTTAGAGTGACCATTGTGGTCAGGTTCTCGGACTCACAAAAGATGAGAGACAGTCAGACCACATCACAGAAGTCCATCCACAGGTAGGTCTTGACCATGGTGGAAAATGAGTGATTCAGCATGGGGTCGACTAGGCCAGAAGAGATTTCTGGTAGGAAATCCCAAGCACCCAAGGACTTGCAAGCCTGTGCGATTTGTTTATTCCCCCATCTGAAGACAGCATTCCAAATGAGAGTGTTCAAGCGAAACCTGCTCCCTGCATCCCATCTGACTTCACTGCTCCCTGGGGACAACAAATGTCACCTCCCAACTCAAACAGTTATAGCTCAAAAAATCGTATTTCTGGAGAACCTTCAAATGTTTACCTCAAGTAGGCACCTGGACAGTCCATGGTGTGCTTTAACTCTGTAGCTCTGCCCTACACAGGCTAAAGCCTCAGGCGAAGTGCTCTCAATATGAGGAAGCCCAGTTATTTTTTTTTATTAGCAGGTCGGAGAAGAAAATCAAATGTTCATTTTTATGGATCTTGAAAAAGCATTTTGATTTAAAAATCCATTTTGATTTAGAACTAATAATCCAGATAAAACCATCTCCTAAATGTAGAAAACATTTCTGCCTTACACCAAAAGCTAGCATCCTGCCTGGGGTACAGAAACAGAAACATACATTTTCCTCATTAGTTATAAATGGTCAGGAAGGACGGGTTGGCAATTAGATAAGAGAAAGAAACGGCACATAGAACAATCAGAGCAAGGACTACCAATGTTCATTCTCTTCAGTCCAGCAAAGTACATTCGATTAAAGGGGAAACCTTTAAAAAGAGTAAGATCAGTCGTTAACCAGCATCTGTACATTGTATGACAGTAAGCTAAAGGATAAAAGGGAAGAGAAGATTTTTATCTACAAATGGAGAGAAAGAAAAATAACCACACAAATAACTGAAGTCCTGTAAATAACAACATAAAGGAAACTAACTGGCCCCTGAGGGAAGCAAAGGAGGATTTGAGCAAATACCTAGAACTCTGATTAGGGGACTCAGCAGAGTAAATCATCACACTACCTTTTACTAAGCATTTCCTATGTTCTAGGTCCTTCTCTGAGTGTTTCACCATGTAACTCACCAAAGATGTAAATTACCCCTAAATTAACCTGCAAATTAATGTGAGTGAATTCTATTTATTATGCATATATTACTTATTCAAATTATAAATTTAATTTAAAAAGCTTAATTTCAATAATCCAAACTGAAGGTATTCTTTAAAATTATACAAGATTCTTGGGGGCTTAGGGGTTGGGAGCACTGGCTGCTCTTCTGGGGGACTCGGGTTCAATTCTCAGTATTTATATGGCAGCTCACGGCTGTCTGTAGCTCCAGTTCCAGGGGACCTGACACCTTCACGCAGATATACATGTAGGCAAAATACTGACGCACATAAAATAAATAAACCTTTACAAAATAATAATAACACAAGATTCCTGGAGCTCTTGAATGGGGGAGAGAGTGCGGAAGAGTCAGGTGAGTCTTGGCCCTTTATCAGAAGGACTGGCCTTGGCTCACAGCTCCGCAGCTGACCCCCATATCTGTTTCCCTGCGGGAGGGTTTGCCAAGTGCAATGCCTGGAAGAAGGACAAATTGTCACAAAGACTGACTTGATATCAGAACACAGCTAGGCTCTGAGAAACATTTTCCCAACCCGAGTTCTCAGAAAGACTCCTTGCCAGGCCAGTCACAGCAGAGTGAGGCCTGGACAAGCCTGGGCTCTCTGTGGTTTTCTAAGTGCATCCGCTCCAGGACCCCTGGCCCCAGGATGCAGGCCACCCCAGAGTGGCTGCCTTTCGCTCTTCACGGCCGAGAGACCCTCACAGGAGTGCAGGCTCACAATGGCCACGTCCTCTCTGGGGGCATTCTCACAAAATGGTGTCCAGCAAAGCAAGCAGACCAAGTAGCTTTACAGCGTGGAGCTCCTACCTGAGGTGACCCCCAGGAGAGCAAGGACAATGACTGCCCCCTGCATACTGGACGGCTCCTGTGTGTATGGCTATCCAGGCCCTTCATCCAATGTTCTGGCCCACATCTACTCCAGATACCACAGTCGTCCTTCCCCTCGTGACCTGGTTGCCAGGCAGGAAATCAAACAGGCTTTGGTGGTAACTAAAGGAGACTATAAACACTGCGGTCTGTTTGTTCCTTGACCTACTTGTGTGATAACCTGCTACCAGACAGGCCGGCTAGCCCATCCTAGTTAGCCTGAGGTCTGTTCCCAAAGTCCTCATCCATATATCTCCACCGAGAACTCACGGGAAGTCAGAAGAGCAGAAAGTGACATGCTGAGTCGGTGGTCAAAGCTGCATGTCCCTGTCATTATGAACACGGGGTCTGTTGTCATTTGCCCAATCAGGGCTTCAGGTGAGGACGTCTGCACTGATCTGAACTGAGGAGCAGGACTCAGACCTGCAACTCACTGAAACTCATTCTCAAGACAATGGCCAGGAGCTGGGTCCAGACATCTCCGTAAAGCAGACACCCGGCGACGGTGCCCTTTGACCCTGTGTTAGTTGCTTTGCTTGTGGCTGTAATAAAACAGCTCAAGGAAGGGAAGCTGAGGGAGCAGCCTTCGGGGGGAAGAGGCTTAGGCAGCAGCAGCAGGCAGCTGGCATGCTGCAGCGGCACAGCTCACAAACATCCCCGAGGTGAGTGTCCTAGGTTAACCATCTCAGACGCCATCCCCCACCACGGCTCCCCTAGAGCCCACAGGCCGGCTGAAGAACATTGGCGCTGGGCTTCTGCCCACTAGGAAGTGGTGTGCCCCTTTACAGCATTTCCATGGCTGTTGCAGCACTGTGCCGAGGCACAAGGAGAGGTGGGTGAATCTTCACAGCCTGGCTCCACGTTCACTCAGAAAAGAGGGGTAATTTGCAGGCTCAGGGGAGATGGCTGAGGAGCAGTAGAAGAGTAATTGTGTCAGTGGAAGAACCATCTCCTCCATCCATTCCCCCACAACAGGTACCTGCCTGCTGTAGGGAAGGGATGCCCCAGGAGCCCCAGATGTGGAAGGGTTGGCTAAACCCTCTGTCAGGGATGGAAGGGGGGTGGAGGATCCCAGGTACTCTGAAGCACAGGCTAACATACATGCAGACTGGGTCGGCCTGAGAAGTCATAAGAGGTGACAGGCTGTGAGCAGGCAGTTAGGGAGAGGGCCTGGTCCCTCGTCCTTTCTCTCTGCCCAAGCTTCCCCGCAAACCTGTATGGAGGAGAGGAGCTGGGAGGAGCCGTGTGGTTTGCCCAGTCCCAGCACCAGCTGCGCCAGCCTCTGAGAGGAAGAGTGGAAGATAGAGAGGAGACTTAGATTTAGATTTGTAGGAGCTGAACGGTGCTGGCCATCAGTAGCAGCGTGCTAAGGGACAAGACAGTGAGATTCAAGCCTCACATTTGCAATTCCAGCACTCAGGAGGCTAAGGCAGGGAGACTGACAGCCTGGGCTACATAGTGAGTTTGGAGCTAGCATGGGCTACAGAGGAAGCTACTGCTCCGAAGCCAGATGAGAGAGAGAAGGATGTGGAGGGAAAGGGGAAAGAAAGACCATGCAACAGAAGTCTGTTTTAACAGCGAGGAGAGGGAGACTGGAAGTATCTCAGTTCACTGAGAAGAAGCTGCTGGTGAGCAGCAATCCCTCCCGGGCTGGGGAGGCCAAGGCTCAGATACAGTTAGTGCTCTCCTCGGAAACCCAGGACCACAAGGCCGACTCCTCCCCTCCCACGGTCTCCAAGGTGCTCTGTGTCCCTGCCCTGGCTCCAGACACAGCCTCCTCCGAGGCCCTCAGTGCATCCTCCAGGCTTTCAGGCTCATTTCACAAGAGCTTGCATCTGATCCTTCACTTTGCTGCTAAAATCACAAACCATTAGCTAACTGTCCCTGGATAAAGCAGGAAGATTTGGAATGCAAGTCTAGACGCTTCCGTTTGAAGTAGCTAAATGGTAAAAATCATAGCCTCTGCTGTGTGTCCTTAGGCAAATTACCTAACCTTTCAGATCTCAATTCTACCTATGCCTACCTGGAAATCAGGGAAAGTAAGTCCTGCAATCCAGTATTTCCGCAGCAGTGAATGAGACAAGGCAGAGCAACCGAGCGTAGAGCCGTGAGTTCAGAGCACACCCAGCAGTGGTCTACCCCAGAGGGACACCTGCAGGGCCAGCAAGGGAGACACAGGCGTGCAGCATCCTCTGCTGAGTGAATACACAACAGTTGCCAAGTTACCAATTCTCACTCCTCAGTTTTTCCTGTCATATTAGTTACTGTAAATAATCCATTTCATTATGCGTAATTAAAGCTGAAGTGATGGCTCAGATTAAGTTATGGAAAACGTCAGAATAATTAAGGCTTTGAATTAAAGACGCTCACATCTGTTTAATTTTCAACCCGACTACATAGTGTTTTAATGTGGCCCTGTTTTCACTGGGTTTCTGTCAGCTCCGCCCCCGCTCCCCCCCCTCCCCGCTCCTCCACCCAGCTCCCCTGGAGTATGAGGGCCCCTTTTGGAAGGTGCTGTGTGCTTGTTTGTTTCCTCTTGTAAACAGCTTCTGTGTCCACTCCCAGAATGGGTCCATCACCAGGACCTGACACTTCTAAGAGCACAAGGTTCGAAGGAGGACCTACCTGCTCAGAAGTCCCAGCGGCTTCACGGGACCCTGAGAGCCTTGTTCTCTTGTTACCTGATTGCTGAGCTACTCCAGTCTCTAGGATCTATCTCCACAGGAAGATGAGTGAGGGACCTCGTAGCCCGGTAGTCCTGGGCCAGAACTTTTGGGGCCAGGGAGCCTTCTGCGAAGTCTGGGCTGGCCTAGCAGCCATCAGGCCTTGGGGTACTTCAAGGGTTCCCTGGGAGCGGCTCCGGTGTCCGATGTGTTAGTGATGTTGCCTTCTGATATGTGACTTAGAACCGGGAACATGCTTTTCTCCTGTAATCTCTATGTACCTGAAAGAAATAGGTGAGAAATGGGAGGTGTGTGGCAAATGCTCAGTTGTTCTGCCCTTTAATCATTCTGAGGGCCTGAGGTCTGGGATGGCAGTGACCTTTTTAATCTGTGGGACAGAGCATGGCTATCCATCTGGCTTGGAACTCTGGCTTCCAGTAATGTAGACCTAGGACAGGACATGTGGGATTTGTGGTGGTATTGTGTTCCCCAAAATATTGTGCACACTAATAAACTTATCTGGGGTCACAGAACAGAAGAGCCACATTATTAAACATAGAGGATAGGCAGTGGTAGCACACACCTTTAATCCTAGCATTCCAGAGACAGAGACCTACCTGGATCTCTATGTGTTCAAGGATATAGCCAGATATGGTGACACACGCCTTTAATCCCAGGGAGTGATGGCAGAAAGCAGAAAGGTATATAAGGCGTGAAGAGCAGAAACTAGAAACTTTTGGCTGGTTTAGTTTTTAGGCTTTGAGTAGTGGTTCAGCTGAGACCCATTCAGATGAGAACTCAGAGGCTTCCAGTCTGAGGAAACAGGGTCAGCTGAGGAATTGGCGAGGTGAGGAATCTGTGGCTTGTTCTGCTTCTCTTATCTTTCAGCGTTCACCCCAATACCTGGCTTCAGGTTTGTTTTTATTAATAAGAACTTTTAAGATACTTACTACAGATATTTGCCTTTCCAGCACCTTGAACCCGTCCCCCAGGTCCACATGCATAATGGGGCCAGCATGCAAGTGGCACATGGCTCCAGGCAGGAGTGAAGCATGGCCCAGTGTTCTAACATCCACACTGCATTAGCAGCGCTTGCGGGCCAGCCTCCGGACAGTTTCCCCAAACTCTTCCAGGTGAGGGGAACTTGATGTTTCTTTCTTTTTCTTTCTCTGTCTTCCTTTTTAAAACCTTTTTATTTTTTATATATAATTTATTTTTATTTTATGTTCATTGGTGTTTTGCCTACATGTATGTCTGTGTGAGGGTGTCAGAAGCCCGGGAAGTGGAGAGATGGCTCAGTGGTTAAGAGCACTGGCTGCTCTTCCAGGGGACCCTCATTCAATTCTCACCACCCACATAGAACTTGGTATTTATTTGAGCCCTAAATTCTTCCTATTTAACATGGTGCCAGGTGCATAGTTCATGCTCAAACAACGGTGGAATTAATGATTCATTTTGTAGTCTCCTGATCTTTACCTTTCTCTCTTTCTGCCCTCCCCAGAACACATGCTCAGTGATGTTCTGTGAGGGGGTTCCTGGAGTCAGAAATAAAGAAATTCTGCAGCATTTCTCCCTTCGAAAACCCAGGAACAGCTTCCTTCCACACCGGCCCTGAGGATTGTGGGAGAAGCCAATGCCCTGGCAGCTCCTGGCACATGTCAGCCCTGGCTCAGGGTGGGAGGTGGGGAGACTGGCCTCCCTGAGGCCACCTGACCACCGGGAGTGTAAGTGCTTCTAGAACTCTGTGTGTTTCTGAGTCACACCTCCAGGAAGCCTGTAGCTAGAGTTTTCCTGCCTTGCCCACAGTCAGGACAAATCTTTGTCACCCACCAGTCCCACAGCCGCTCAGACCCAACCAAGTAAACACAGAGACTTATATTGCTTACAAACCGTATGGCCGTGGCAGGCTTCTTGCTAACTGTTCTTATAGCTTAAATTAATCCATTTCCATAAACCTATACCTTGCCACGTGGCTCGTGGCTTACTGGCATCTTCACATGCTGATTGTCATGGCGGTGGCTGGCAGTGACTCCCGCCTTCCTGTTCTTTCTTTTCTCCTCTCTGTTAGTCCCGCATATACTTCCAGCCTAGCCACTGGCCAATCAGTGTTTTATTTATTGACCAATCAGAGCAATTTGACATACAGACCATCCCACAGCACTTCCTCTTTTCTTTTCTTTTCTTTTTTTTTTTTTTAAAAAAAAGGAAGGTTTTAACTTTTACAAATCTCCAAAGCCAGCTTGGTATATTTGGGAATTTGGGCGTAGCCTCTCTTACTACTTCCTGCTGGAGGGGGCACTGTATCTTATGGGGACACAAAGAAAATTTTAGGATTATGGAGTAGTCCATGAGGGTATATCGTCTGAGCCAGTTGCCTTGAAACGATTCTGGATGT